TTTGAAAAAGTTGTATATGCTCAGTGACAAACTGCAGCAATTAAGTAGCCTTACTCTGCTGCAAAGATTGCCTTTGACCCCTCACTTTATCACTAAGTCCAACAGATGTTTTTCAGGTCTTACCTTACTCCTTTCAGGAGCTTGTGAACTATTAACTACTTCTGCATTTTTGAAACAATTTATTTCCTAGGCTTCTGTGATACCACATGCCCCTGGGTTTCTTTTTACATGTCTGCTTCTTCTTTTTTCTTTTTAGTCTTTCATTGTGTTGATGTTCCTTTGGATGGGTCCTAGTTTTCAGTCCTCAGACCTAGTTTAGTTTTCAGTGCTCATTACGCCTAAACTCTGCTGGGGCAAAATCTCAAACACTTTCTTGGTATTACCTTATCTACCCCAATAAAAGACAAACCCCCAATGACCTTAGAGAACAGAGGGAGATACTTCATTTTGATCTTTAAAAAGTCCTTCATATCACTGGATGCTCTCAATTATTTTGGAAGAAAATGCTTTTGGGGGGAATATATATTAGCACAAAGTGATTCATTCAGTGCTCAAATACAAGCCACGTGACAGAATTGGTAAGAAAAGAAATAAATTTAACACAGATTTAGAAATTACTGCTAGGGAGATACCTTCTCACTTACAAGTGTTAGATGTCCTTGTCAAGAAGCCTTTAAAAAATCACTACAAAAAGCAATATGATTACAGGATGAATAATGTAGTATGATTAGAGATTTGTGGTTTAGAATAAAGTCCCCAGTGCCAGCATCATCTGTAAAGTCAAAAACTTAGTTGGAAGTGAAGTTAATGTGTCCTGGAAAACTATATCAGAGATTCAAAATATGATTGTGGTAATGTCAGAGACACCTTGAAGAATTTCATTAAAATTGTTTTTGAAATTATATTTTCAGGGGCTGGGGTCGTGGCTCAGTGGTAGCGCACTTGCCTAGCATGCGGGAGGCACTGGGTTTGATTCTCAGCACCATATACAAATAAATAAAATAAAGGTCCATCAACAACTAAAAAATATTTAAAAAGAGAAATTATATTTTCATAATATATAAAGTAAGTATAACTAAATTTATACATTAAATATTACAAGTAGTGTTCCAATTGTTTCATCTATATTTTTAAAAGTTTATATATTCAAGTTGGCTGCAAAGTTTTTTGGGGGGTGAGGGGAGAGATAGAGTTTAATTGGAAAAATAGATTTACCTTATATTCTGGTATATATGTTATATACTGATGACTCATCTGTAGCCAATCTCCCACCTAAACTCCAGCCCTATATAACTAACAGTTCTCTGATAATTCTACAGGATGTCCAACAGGTACTTTAAATTCAACTTGTCCAAAGTTACACCCAACTTCCCATCTACCTATTCCCCTCTTGTTGTTCCCCTTAGTGAACGGCACCACCTTCATTCAGCTGCCTAAACTGAAACTTGAGTCACCCACATTTCCTTTGTTTCCCATAAAGCCCTGTTGTTTCTATCATCTATCTCCTAATCCCTCTTATCTGTTCATTTCCCTTAATACCCTCTGTTTTGCTCCAGGCCTCTATCATTTCCTCCCCATTCTACTATAACAAAATCTGAACTGGGTTTCTTGGTTCCCTCTCCTGCCAATCTGCCTTCCAAAAAGCAGCCTGAGTGATCCGTTGTAAATGCAAATTTGAGGTCAATCACCACTGCAGGCTTGGCTAACTCTGACAAGTCTTCAGGTGTCAGTTTAGAGACCAATGCCTCTTTTCTAATTCCCCATTCTCCCGCTTTACAATTTAGCCAAGTTAGATGCTATTTCTATTTCATCACATCCCTTGTCTTTCCTTAACACAACAGTCTTCACACTTCTTCGTTGTAATTGTTTATCTTTTCTGCTAGACTGGGAACTCATGTCAACAAGGGCTCATCATTGTGTCCCCTTAACACAGGGCAAGCATTGAGATATTTTGAGTGCTTTATAAATATTAAACGAATGAACCAATAATTTTGTTATTTCAGCATCCAGTACAATACTTGGTAAAAACAGTTCCTCAATCACATTTGTTGAATTAATCGACTGCTGTTGGACTAAAGATATATGATTAAACAACATGTAACAATTAATTTTGTGCAGGCTTTGTCCTTAAGGAACATATATTCTTCTTAATTAGGTTTAATCAGAGATGGTAGAACAGGTGGCTTTTGGAAGGGAAAGGGAGAGGAAAAAATTCTTACCTAGTGAAATGTAAAGGGCAAATGTAAAAATATTAATATCTGTGCAAAAGAAACTTGTGTTCTTAAGATATGCGTAACTCCTAGTTGAAATCTGCTGTAACTAGGAAGTGTTCTGTCCTGGGATTTGCTAGTCAGGGGCTAGCTTTCTTCTCTACCTTGGATATTGGGATTCAGTCAAGGAATCAGCTGCAGAATCTCATTACTGGCAGCAATTAAACACTGAACTATATTGCTTCCTCAATGATTTAAAAAACCCCCCCAAAACCAAAAAAAACAAAACATCATTTTACTATAAAGAATAAGATTCCTACCAAGTTTTATATTCACGGGATTTAATTTTTCATTTAATTTTTATATCAAAATATATTTAGAATATATTTCACAAGAATATTTAGTCTAGTTATTTTTGGCCTGCACTTCCATAACTTACACTAACATACAATGGACACTTTGTTTTCTTTGCTCTAAAGTTTCTTTGTGCACTATTCCTTGAACATGGGCCTCATGTTCCAACTTCACTTAGATGAAAAAAGTGTTAATTTCAGCAATGATATTAAATCTCTTTATAGACTCATAGTTTAGACTTACATAAAAATATGTTGCTTAGTCAGACATTTGTGGACCTAAGTATTTATTGAAATTCTTGTTCTGGAGAATGAGAATGAAGAATGATATACCTTGTTAAACAAAGGAGAGGTTAATGACTCCAAATGATTTTAAAATAGCATGTCAACAAGGACAGTAATATCAAAATGAAGTAAAGGATCTGATTTGAAGTATGTGCGGGAGTTAACTTTACAATCTTACTCTTGAACTGATCTGTAACTTTTTTTTTTTAATCTGGGGTTCCATCTATTAGTGGTTTATTAGTAGAATGGCATTTGCGAAATTTGCAATTTAATCACAAATCAGTAATATGATTTAGCCACCCTATTTTACAAAAAGTGCTTTAAACCTTTTAATACAAACAATATACTCAGTGGGCTTATAAATTAATTAGACAGCTCACAGAGGTCATACATGAAATTAGCCACATATATATTTTTCTAAATTTGGAGATAAATGTAAGCCTCATTTTGGAAGTCACAATATACACTGTAGAGTTTTAATATAATGAAAAAAATTTAGCCTTAAAAACCATAGCTGAAAATTAACATTTGCAACACCATTTATAGTTTCCAAAGAGCTTTTCTCATTAATTATCTCAGAAAACTGAATAATGATGTGATTATTAAAGGTTAATTAAGCAAATACTTGTGAAGTAATTGGGAGGTAATCTATTTCTAATTTAACAGGTCAATCAGGGGTATTTAGGAAATATTTTTTTCTGGTTAACTACGCTAACCAAAACAAAAAAGATATTTAAATGGTTTCCCTTGTGGGTTATTCCCACAATAAGCATTTGTTTGTTCTTCTAAGCCAATTGTTTCAAAGAACTGAAATGAGGGTCCCTAATTTCACTGTTTTGGTCATTGAAAAAGGTTTTATGAGCTCTTCCTCCCCAATGTTAATCCACACCTTATGTTGTTTATTTTGGCACTTCGGAATAAAATATAGAAAGTAACTGGAGAAGACACAGGTGATGCGTTAGAGATTAACCATTTTCTTGTGGAAAGCAACGCATCTTGATTATGACTCTACCGAAAAGTGAATACAAATTCAACTCATCAACAACCAAATAGGACTGTCCAAGTGTATGACTACACAAAGAAATTGTCTTAAGTTTCCATAGGTGCAGTTTATCACATGAACAGTATTCTCCTCAGTAGAACTAAAAACTGCTTTCTCCCAACTTTGGGTAGCTTGGGTGCTGCCTCACGATTACCAAATAATTTAAAAATCGTATATCCGGCTAGTTCCTGGTCTACCGGCTAAAGACGAGTCCCAGGTAAGAAAAGGCGAAATGCTCTGCCAGGGTACAGGTAGATGAAAGGTTGCAGTTATGACCAGAAAATTAGCCAGGGGTCGCGGAGCTCGCTCTGGAGCTCGCAGGAGTTGGAAGGCTGGAAATCCAGCACCTTTGTCTGGGCCCTGGCTCCCTGGACCCCGGCCCCGTGGTGCGGGCGGGTCCCGGCACTACCCCTGGAAATGGGCGGCGAGGGCGGTCCGGCCTGGAAGCCAGAGGTCAGCGTTCCGCGGACGGCCCCCTCCCACAGGAGCTGTGCCAGGTCCCTGCAAGGGCCGGGCGGCTCGCTATTGTTTTTGGCGAGCACATAAATCCACGCGCCGACCCTCTGCGAACCCAGGTTTCCTCTCGGAGGCCATTCGGTTTCCTCCGAGGCCCTATATAGAGGCCCCGCTACCAGGCTAAGCAGAGGTGTGCGTCCGCTCCGGCCTCCCAGACCAGCCTGGGTTCCGAGCTCCTCTCGCCTGCAGGTCTCTGTACACCGAGGCGTCCGGGGAGGTGAGGGGGAATTACTCCCCCGAGCTAGGAGCCCGAGGCGGGAGCGCACGGGCGGGAGGAGGAGGAGGAGGATCGGCTTCTCCGGGGTTTCCCTGACGCCAGCAGCAGCGCCCGGCGCGCGCACCCCGTGCCCGTCCACGGCTCCGGGGAGAAGGGGGAGGGGAGCGGGCCCGCCGCCTGCCCTCGCGCCGCCGCCGCCACGGCCCGCGAGGCGGCAGCCGGGATTGGAGCTGGCGGGCCGCGCGCAGCGCCAGGCGGTGCTGGAGAGGGAGGCGCGCGTGCGCGTGTGCGCGCCCCGGGCCCCCGCCCCCCACCCCCGCCGCCTGCGGTCTCCGCCCCCCTCGCGCTGGTGTGTGGAGCCGGAGTCGGCGGCGGGTGGCGGCGCCTGGAACCCGGAGACCTAGCCACCCCCCGGCCCCGGAATGTACTGACTCCCCTCTCTGCTCTCCTCCCCTCCCCGCCCCCCTGCAGGAGGGAGGCGCCCCCGAGTCTCCCCTCCCGCTAGAGGGGCCGCGCGGGCCGGGCCGGGCCGTGCTGGAGCAGCGGCGGCTGCGGCCGCGGGAGCCGAGCCTGCAGCGAGGGACCGGCTGAGGCGCGCGGGAGGAAAGGAGGCGAGCGCTCCGCGGCGCTGTCGCCGCCGCGGCGGCTGCTCACTCTCGGGGAAGAGATGGCGGCGGAGCGGGGAGCCCGGCGACTCTTCAGTACCTCCTCCCTCTGGCTCTACTGCCTGCTGCTGCTGTTCGGGCGCCCGGCGCCGGGCGCTGCGGCCGCCAGGAGTGGCTCCCCGCCGCAGTCCGCAGGTAAGCGGAGGCGCGGGCCTGGGGCGCGAGGTGGGGGCAGGGGCGCGGCACGGGCTCCTGTGGTGGCGGCGGCTGCGGTGTTTTTTGTTTAGGATCCAGGAGGAAACGTGCAGGAACTTCTTTGCCTCGGCTTCAGTGGCCGAGAAGAAAGGGGATCTTGCGTGGCGAGAGTGGTCTAAGCGGGAGGGGCCGCCTCTGGGGCCAGGTCTGGGGCTCCGGGGGTCTAGTTCTGCGCTTTGTACGGGAGGCAGGTTCACCCCTCTCCTCTCACCCCTCCCCCAGGCTCATCCCACTTGTAAGAGTGGGACATTCTTGTGCTCGCACAGGCACCAGTAGAGGCCACTACACACCTCATTAAATAAACAATCGTACGGCCAATTCATTAATTTTCAGGAAAGGAAGAGGGAGGGGGCTTGAATCCCCCTGAATCCCTGGCCAGGGATTTCCCAGCTTCTGCAGCCCCAGAGAAGCGCGGGGCCAGTCTCGGGAGACTCCTCGCGCAGGGATTGGAGACCGAGTCTGCGGAAGAGAGGGGGTGTCTGGGGCACACATGCATCCTCAATGACCAGTGGTGTTGACTTAACCATGAGGACGCCTTGGAGAGTGTCTCCAAGTGACTATCTTTTTCGTGTTTCCGTTATAGAATGCCTCTTTCCTGGGGATTACAACTGTATTTACAGCCTGTTAACCTGGGGAATTGTGCAAGCATCGGATTTTAAATACTTGTACATTGTTTTCAAGTGACAATATATAAATATATTGAACCTCAAAAGTCATTTTCAGTTTCATTTTTGCATATCATGGATTACTGGAATCACCTGGATTCCTATTTATTTAAGGGTGGGCAGTTAATAAATGCAGCTTTCGGGTATAGCTGAGGAGTGGGATACACTCAGTTGAAGGATAAAATAGCATGTAATCTGTTAAAATTGTTTGACCAGGGCGGTATACCATAAAACTTGACAAAACTTTCACTTACTTTCATGAGATATGAAAATTTTACATTCAGAAGACATCTGATTAGGCACAATGGCAACTTAAAATTACTAAACCAGTACTTGTTTCTTGTTTCCACCTGATTTATATGAAATATATTTAAAGTCACTTCGCAATGTAACTTGACTGATCAACTTTTCATTTCCTTGCAAAGCGCATGTTGGTCTGTCTCTCTCTCTGACTTTGGCCAGGGTTAAAGAACAGCTTTTAGTCTTAAGTACCAGTAGGTATTATCTAAACAAGTACATAAACAAGTGCTAATGTCACATTAGTATCATTGATGTCATCATGTGCACTTGTACATTCAGCCTGTACAAGTTTAGGTCACACTTTTCAATCCTGAAATATAGGTAATTGATCCATACTTTCCTTTCCTGAGGATGGTCAAGAGAAATGCAGCTGCCTTGGAAAACAAGTTTCTCTTATTCTTGTTTAATTTTATATGTAATTTTGCATATGAATCATCGTGTGTGTTTGAGGTAATAGGTGGAGTCTGTTTAAAGTTTTGTTAGTAATTTTGTAAATAAATGAGTGCTGGTAAGTTTATTAGGTTAATAGAAATAATGTAAACAGCCTCTTTGGAAATGATCTTAACATCTGTTTTGACATTAATTCAATCAGTAGGTTTTTATTTTGCACTGATGAGGTGCAAGGCATGTGTTCTCTGTCTTCATGGAGCTTACAGTCTGATGTGTAATAGGAAAGATAGCCAATCAACTACTAATTATATAATTAAGCAATTGTGATAAGCACTACAAAGGAGAATAGGTTTTGAGAAAGTGGATGTTGGAGTGACTTACCTAGTTTGTGTCAGGATGTCTCAGAGGTGAGACTGAGAGGTAATAGGGTAGAGGTGGAGAGGCTCACAACTAATTAAATGTGAGGATGAGTTTACAACACAGGTCTTCTGATTCTCTGTCCAGAGTGTTTTCAGTATACCACTCTGCCTCATTTCAAAAGTCAAAGGAATAACTGCAATGATGGGGGATTGGTCAGCTTTGTCATGAGCTGTGGAAAAGATCAAGGGAATGGAGAACTGAGCAGCTGGAACAAGCTGTCAGTAAGTAAGATGTCGTTTGTCAGTGCTTTTATTTATTTATTATTTTTGTAGGGTGGTAGACTCAGAAGTCTTTTTGTAGGAGTGGTAGGAGAGTGGAAATATTCAATTGTAAAAGGAGAAAAAAACAGATTTGGGACCACTGGATAAACAATGTTTTTACATCTTTGGGTAAACATATGAACAGTAAAAAGCATATGAGCCACGAGGAGGTGGAAAAAGAAGTAAAGAATAGAAAAGCTGATGGTAGAAAATGGTCAGCAGTGATAGAGGTTGGAAATTAGAAGGCCTCACAAATGGGCTTTAGGAGGAAGGACCTACTGAAGAGATTTGTATGGATTTTGGGGAAGATGACTTGACAGAGCACTTTGTGAATTCCAGGTCTTCTCATTCTGAATGGACATCCTTCATTCAGGACCCCGTAGCTTCTGCTGAGCCATTTTTTTGATGATAAGATTCATTATCTCACAAGGTAGACCATTCCTGTTTTGAAAAACTTCATTAGAAGATTTTGCTTTTTTGGGCTGGGGTTGTGGCTCAGCGGTAGAGCACTTACCTAGCAAGTGTGAGGCCCTGGGTTTGATCCTCAGCAACACATAAAAATAAATAAAATAAAAGTATCAAAAAAAAAAGATTTTGCTTTTTACTGTTCATTTAATATAGTGTTTTTTCCCCTTCATTCTGCTTGAATTTTTTTCCTTTCCTCTGCCTTTATCAGAATCAGCCCATTACTTGGCTCGTTTTTCATTGATTCTTCATTTGTGTTTCAAGTTTTTCTTTCATCCACTTATTAACTATTGGTATCTAAAGTTTGTCTCATTCTGTTTATTCTCTCCATGTCTTCAGTTGCTACCTGTAACCTGGTGTCTCTCCTAGTCCACTTTTCACATGCTACTTGGCACTTTCATTGAATAGATAGGTACCTTGCATAATGCAGAAGTCCTGCTGGAATGAGCTTTCTGGAATATTTTTTAAACGTATCACTCTTCTACTTAAAATCTCTTAGTGTTCCATAGCTTGAGTATTAGTCTAACCCCTTGGCATGGAGATTTTGAAGACCTTTGTGTTCTCTACTACCACGCTTGCAGCCCTAATTTAAAGCCTCTTCTCTTGTCACCCATAATATGTACCTTGTGTTCCACCACTTCAGATTAATTGCATAGCTTTATGTCTGCATGCCTTTGTACATGCTGTTCTTTCTTCCTGCTAAAGGCACTTCCCATCTTGTCCACTTCTGAAACCCATTTCATCAGTGACCTTTCTTTACCAACCCCTTCTCTCAGAGTTAATAGTTATCATTCTGTGTTCCCATAGCTTTCTGAGCCCTTTTTGTGTCATGTTACTTATTTTCTTATCCCCTCTGCTAGCTGTAACCTCCTGAGGGTTGGCAGTTGTCTTATTCACCTTTGTATCCCCACCCCTAGCTGAAGCATTTGGCACAGAGTAGATAACCAACGAATGTTTGTTGAATGAATGTTGAATTGCCATGTGTATGTCTGTATGTTTTGGGTACTGGGGATTGAACTGTGGGGCACTTGGCCACTGAGCCACATCCCCAGCCCTGTTTTGTATTTTATTTAGAGACAGGATGTCACTGAGTTGCTTAGCTTCTTGCTTTTGCTGAGACTAGCTTTGAACTCTTGATCCTCCTGCCTCAGCCTCCCGAACTGCTGGAAATTGCCTTTGTTTTTAATCCCCAGGGCCATACAGCACAAATTTGATTCCTTTATATGATACCTTCAGTCTCTAATGATAGAATTCATATATTCTGTATGCAGTGTACCTATGTATGTCCTGTCCCCTCCTCCTTTTTAAGTTGATCATCCTTAATTTCTTCAGCCACTCTTCACTGGGACCACTGGATAAACAATGTTTTTACATCTTTGGGTAAACATATGGCCTGTGGAGGTGGAAGAAAAAGTAAAGAGTGGAAAAGCTGATAGCCTTCTGACTCCAAATGAGCTTGGTCATCCTCCTAGATATGCTGCCATTTTAGTACTTATTCATTTTTGCCATCTTTGGAAAGGTCATTGATTTTTGTTGCGTCCTCTGTTTTAAAAAAAAGGACTAATGCCCTGTTCTGCCTGTTAGGATGAGGTAAAACAGGGATCAAAGATTTTTAAGATGCATGCTCAAAAGAGATAAGAAATATGACTTTCTTAGTAAACTGTCGGAAATTAATATGTGATATGGGATAGTGAATAAAGGACTTGTGTATGGAGGCAGAGGATTTGGGGGTATGACTCATAGTTCTTAACTTCACATATATATTTGTAAGTTGGGGGCTATAGGCAGGCTAGAATAATACCTACATAACTGGATTGTCAGAAAAATTAAGTGTAAAATATTATAAATAGTAAATTATGTAGAATGGTTTTAATGTTTTTGAACTTTAAAAATATGCTATAATTCTATTAAATTATTGAAAGTATAGCTTTTTTTTTTTCCTCTGTTGTCTTAATTGATCATTGTTGTTTTCTGCCTTCTGAGTTTTCTCTATACCAGGAAAATTTTGGCAGTAATGTTAATAAATCTCATTATTGGGAGCTTTTTCTTTTCTTTAATTATTTTATATATTTTATTTTTTTAGTTGTAGATGGCTGCAATATCTTTCTTTTCTTTTCTTTTTTTTTTTTTTTTTTTTTGATGTGGTGCTGAGGATTGAACCCAGTGCCTCATGCATGCTAGGTGAGCTCTCTACTACTGAGCCACAACCCCAGCCCCTATTGGGAGCTCTTTCTAATAATCTTTTTTCCAAATGCTTTACTTGATTATTGACTTTCATGTGATTGGGAGGTATATACCATGACATTGGTAAGTGTTTTAGCTTTTGGGTATATTTTAATTTCTTGATATCCATAACAGGAGAACAGGTAGAGCACATGACTGTAGGTAAGATCATATTAACCAGAGAGCTAAGTGAGGTAAAGATGAAAAGTTTTGTTTA